TGGCGTTTTAAATTTCTTCGTTGCCTTCCACAGAGAATAGTTGTTTTCTTTAAGTGGACCAAGAGACTCGAGATATTCTTGTAAAGAGCGGTTTTTGTCATCAGATAGTGCTTTTTTAAGATCTTTTGAAGCTTTATTTAATCTTTGTTTTGAGGTGGGTGATCGAAGTCTTTGCCATTCACGCCTGGCTTGTCGTTTTCGAGAAATAAGATAATCAATGTGTGATTGAAATACTATATTTGACTGGACTGATCTTTTTGGTTGAGAGGCTTTAATTACAGCATTATTTAATGTCTTGGTAAAGTGATCAACTGCTTTATCAATTTCTTTAGGTGAACTACAATTTGAATTGTAACTTATTTCCTCATTAATTATATTTATATATTTCCTCCAGTTTATTAGAGTTTTTTTATTCTGCTCATTTGAATTAGTATTAAATTTTGTCAGAGTTAAAATAACCGGAGAATGGTCAGAGGACAAGTCATAAGATGATTTAACAGCAATATCTTCACGTTTCATACCATTAATGACTGCGAAATCGATTAAGTCTGGTATTTTTCGATTGTCTGATGGCCAGTATGTTGGGTGGCCTGAGGTCACAACATCAAGGCTGTTGCCAAGTGCTGCATACAGTTGACGACCTCTTGGAGTTATTAGTCTAGAACCCCAAAAGGTGTGTTTAGCATTGAAATCCCCAGCAACTAGAAAGTTAGGACCGAGATCAGTAAAAAATTTCCGGAATTGATCAGAAGTAATAGCAAATTTGGGCGGGCAATAGATTGCTGAGACGACAGTTTTAGTTAGACCAGAAATTACACAAATTGATGTAGCTTGTAGGTATTTAAAACAATGCTTTTGAATTTCATAATGTTGTATTGTGTTTCTAACAAGTACTCCAGAACCGCCACATGCTTTACCATCTGGATGTTTAGTGTCATAAAACTTATATCCAGAAACTCGAAAACAGTTTTTGAAGGTTAAATGTGTTTCAGATATAAGCAGTATATCGATATTGTTACTCACCAGAAATCTAGTTACTTCCAGTACATGTTGGCTTAAGCCGTTTGCATTCCAATGGCATATTGTGATTGCATTCATTTGGGTTTTACCAACTCAGCAATCAAACTTTGGTTTTGTATCATGCTTTGCATCAAGCTATTCATCATATTTTGCATGAAGTCCATGAAGTGTTCAATTTTTTGGGTAAAACTTGCGAGCATTGCTTCAAAGCCTGGAACAACAGTGGAGCTATTGGTAAGAAGTGGAATTTGTTTAATGGCATTTGCGTACGTCATTTGCTGCATTGGTGGAGCCGGTGGTTGCAATGTAGGACCAGTGTTCTGTGGAAGGGGCGGGAAATGAGATGTTGTGAAGTTTGGCAGATTAAGCTGTGGGGTGCGCTGTCTTTGGGCAACGTTTAATTTTAGTCTTAGAGCAGTGAAAACTGGACATCCTCTGTAGTTTGCTGTGTGGCTATCACCGCAGTTTGAGCATTTTCTAACTGCTGGGTTTTCTTTACTTTCAGGACATTTATCTGAGCTATGGATTTTGGCACAAATAACACAAACTTTAGCAAGTTTACAGTATGACTTGGTGTGTCCATATTCCTGGCAGTTGAAGCACTGTACTGGAAAATTACGCTTGTGTGGTTCCTCTATAGTAATTTTTCTGTTTAAAAGAAAGCGAAGCAAATAAATAGGATGGACTTCGCCACTTTTCAACTTGTTTGTGTCTGGATACAGCTCAACTTTGTACATTGGTTGCGGTTTACGGTCTCTATTTAAGATATTAAATATACTTTTTGCTGCGAAGTTTTTTTCTTTAAGTGCATCGTGAATTTCTTTAATATCAACTCCTGCCTCTATGCCTTTTATGACCACTATTAGTCCTTTACTACTTTTTAATTGATACGTATAAAATTGTTTCGATTTTATCTCTAATTCAGCAATTACTTTACGAAACTGATCTTCACTTGAAACTTGTACCTTGGTTTCATTAATCATGCCCTTTTTAATAGGTACAACAAAGAAATTTTTTTTACCTATTAAATTTGAAAGTGAATTAACTAAATCACTAGAGTTTTTTTCTCTTACATAGATAGGCGGTGGTTTAACAATTTTTTCTTTGATCTCTTCTATGTTTTCGCTTTCATCACTCAGTGCTTTGAATCTGTTGTTATAATTATTGTTGTTAACTTTTTGAATTTTGTCACGATTGTTTGCGTTTTTTTGTGGGCTAAGTTTTCGCTTAACTATTTCAGTATATCGTTCAATTCCTGTTTGTACTTTGATTGGTTTATTTGGAAGTCCGACATTTTTCCCGGAGTTAGGCGTTTTACATTGAACACTCCAGGGTTGAGGTGATAGAGATGGTACAGAAGTCAATGAATGTGGACACAATTTCGATTTTTGTTCCTGTTGTTGCTGACTTTGTAAAGTTTGCTTTTGTGTTTTATGTTGCTGCTCTTGCTGTTGTTGTATTTCTTGCTCTTGATTAAGTTGTTGTAGGCCTCCACCTTTCGGTGGAGTACGATCAACCGGCATTATAATCAATCAAAACGTTTAAAAAAAAAAAAATAAAAAATAAAAAATCTGTATATTTAATTAAAAAGTATTTTTTTTTTTATTCTGTCAATATAATTTATACAATTACACTTTGCAGTAATATTTTGTGTAATTGATTTGAACTTCTTTTTGATTTATATATAAGAATTTATTAATTGTATTTATTTAGCATAAGTTAACAAGTTAACTACTCAATTTACACAATTACACGATATTGTGAGATGCAATTTGTACAGTTTTTTTTTCTATTTCGAACACTTTTCTTGTTTTTTATTTAAAGCTTTAGAGCTTTATCTGCTGTCTCTATCAGCTGTTTTTAAAAGTGTGTGAATTTAATGCAAATAAATATATTCAAAAAACAAAACAAATTTGCAAATAAATTCACTTTTTTGCATATCAACAATATAAATATATTAATAATTTAATTTTTGACGTTAAGTCTGGCACTAATATTTTTATAAATTTTGTAAGGAGTCACTATCTCGATTTATTGCGATAAAAATTTTAAATTATTTTGCACGTTTTGCACTTGAAAAATATCAAAAAATATCATATACGCAGTGATATTATTTTGCGCGCGCACTACATTAAACTTGTGATAATGCAATGAAAAAAAATCATCTTAAGTATAAAATTTTAATTATTAAAAAATATTTTAATATGTCACCAAATACATATTATAAGTGGTCCCTAAAAAGACCTACTGGCTTAGCTGATGAATTACAATAGCATGTTTATCATTTTACTACTACATTCATCGTCAGAAGCCTAAAGAGATAAGGAGAAAACAAAATCCATGCTTTTAATATATGTAATTAAACAGATCTTTGTAACAAGTATTTCCCTTAAAACATTTTGTTTTGGGACCCAAAGCTAGCTCAGTTGTAGAGAAAATAACTTTAGTAATTGGTACTCCAAATTCCACAATATGTATCAAAAGCAATACCCAGTAATATGAATTCGTATGTTGTTCTGCCCTTTCTATAGTGGTATACTTCAAAGAAATGTATTTTTTTTTCTTCTTGAATAAAAATACTTATTAGTTATTAAACTCACAATATTAATGTTAATAATATTTTTACATATTTTACAGGATTTAATAATTTTATCAGACATAAGAATTTTTTTTGAACATAAATATACCTACATACCTAGTAGGTTGGAGTGGCGGTCTTGTATCCCAAAAAGCCCACTTGAGCTTAAATAATGGCCCATTGTGGTACCTTATTGCGTTGATATGTACATAGATTGGGATCAGTATACATTCAAAGACGAAGAAGGTAACGACTCCCCCATTATGTAAAGAAAAACCAACCTGACAGTTCTATAAACTCAGCCCAGTCAGATCGGTTTGAAAAGGAGATCCGAGGATTTTTAATCTTCTTCTGAGAAAATTGAGATAGATACGTCGGATGTTCGATTACTTAGAACCTATTTTACTTTTATTTTGGTAAGTAAAAAACATATTGAACTATTTTATTACTATATTTAAATTACCTGCCTTATAATCATTTTTAGTACTATTAATATTTTATTTTAAATTTTAAATTCAAGTGTAAAAAAAGATATTCAAATGTTCACAAGTCATTAGAGCAAAACAGGCCCCAAAACGCTTTCTTAGGACGCATTTTGTTTTAACTATATGAAAATAATTGCCTTAAAACCCATTTTAAAGTCGTGAAATAAATAGCACCACCGGCTATAATCATTCTTACTATAATTTATCAACTTAGCTAACTTAATTTATACTTAGTTTATTTTGAGATTTAAGTTCCGACTGTGACATCGAACTTAATTCATTTATTTTTCTTGATCAGAAAACTGTTCTCCAGGTATGGTTTTATAGACATAAATAAAGTAAGATTCAGACACAGTTTGTCAGGTTTTGTCGCTATGTTATGTGAAAGAAGTTGATCACTTAATATTCTATCCATCCTTCTCTCGCGAATATATAAACATAATTCATCCTTTCAAAATCCGAACTCGATTTCAGTGATTACATTACTAAATTGAATTGTTGAGTTAACTCTGTTAACTCTGATATTTATTTGTTGAGCATTTTTGAATTCACTTAAATTTCAAAAAAAATAGTATAATATTTACCTGACATTTTTCATTGAAGTTGATTATTGTCTCTCCTCTCGTCAGATCTGTATAAATCGACACCGTAGTCAAATAATAATCAGAAAATATTGATCCGATGAAAAATTTGACTAATGCTTTACAAATTTCCAATTACATACGAGTATTTTGAAACAGAACTACTTTACATATTAGTTTGGTAGTATTGCCAGGGTACACTGACTCACTGTGTAAATTGTATTTTAACTCATTTGGAAAATGTGGCAACAAAATTAATTAAAATATGTAGTAGATGACAATGTCATTTTTATGACATTATTTCAGACAGTTCAATCAAAAATTTTAGTCGTGTTTTAAAAGTTGAACATTAAAGGCAAGAAAGACGGTGAAAGGATCTAATAATTTCAAGAACAAGGTATGTCTACATAATATAATAAAAATCTGTCGTATATATGATGAATATGATATATATTCCTAATATATGGTAAGAACTTTCTAATTTATTGTTAAAATTGAACATTTACTGAATTTTAAAAATCGAAAAAGAAAATATAATAAAAGACCAGTTATTTATTCCAAAACTTCTGAAATCAAATTAAATAAATTGCTAATGCTTTACCTATTAAAATAAAACAGTCTTCATTGATAATTATTGCCGCTTCATCTTATTCTTTAACGAATCCAAGCTGGTCACTAAAATCAGTTCAAATGGGTGGGATTGTTGACTTACGGCCATGTCAAGCAGAGTGCTCGGGCTCGGTAAAATTCGGTCTTTCGGGCTATGCCGAAAATGCGTGTTATGCAGAGCGTCACGTCGGTATTGCCAGTTTTGTATTTTTACTACTTCTTGGTACTTTTTGGTTGTGTCTAAATTTAAAAGGAAATTTAGATATGCTCACTTTCAATTTGTCCCAAAAATAACTAGCAAGAAAAAACTAATAGAGGCTGTAATAATGTTAACTTATTACTATATTATCTTATAATAATTGTTACCAGTATTTACGCCTTTTTTTAAAATCGGAAAATGTAATAATTACATTATAAGCGATTTATAAAAAAAGGTTGTGTTGCTTACTGTCATTTTTTACTGCTAAGATGCGCAAATTTTGAAATTTATTACTAAAAAATATTGTTTTACCTTAGTGCCAGGTCACAAATATTCTGGCTCTCATGCCGGAGTTTGAACAGCCATATTGTTTTCTCTCTCATTCTCAAATTTAAAATTTGCCTTGAAAACAACAACAATTGTACTGATGCCATGCCCGAGACACTCTGCATAACATAGCCCTCAGCGCAGAAATTTTTTCCAAAAAAAAACAACCCTATAAAGCCTGATGCTACCAGCCCAATGAATTTGCCAATCAACTTGGCCAATTCCCAAAAAATGATTAAACCACTATTCAATCATTAACAAATTTCTTGACGGTTAAGCATTATAACCAGTTTAGATAATCGGGAACTATTTCAATCTCTATGAAGGGTTTAATAGCATACTGAAATTGCTTCTAAGCAATTTTATATTACGAAAGTTTCTTTTTCATTAATAAACATATATACCATATATATAATTTATAACAGAAATTTTATTTTACCTAAAAAACCTGGTATCAAGAACGTAACAAAAAACGTAACTTAACAATTAGATTGCGTAGCGCCAGCGATAATATTATGGAAGACGCAGAAAGTCTACGTGCAACGGACAGGTACGTAAGAACAACAATTTGTACTAAACATCAATTTTTAACAACGTCTTTTCAAATATTTACATAAGCTATGGATGTGATGCAGTGCCAACATGTTCACTTGGAGAGCTATCAAAGAAGTGCGAGGGAGATGGTATTAATGAAGGCATTCTCAACGATGATAAATCGGAAACGGTTGCCCCTTGCGCGGTTGCACTTTCAAAAAAGTGCGAGGGAGATGGTATTAATGAAGGCATTCTCAACGGTGATAAATCGGAAACGGTTGCCCCTTGCGCGGTTGCACTTTCAAAAAAGTGCGAGGGAGATGGTATTAATGAAGGCATTCTCAACGGTGATAAATCGCAAACGGTTGCTGTTAAATCCCAAACGGTTGCCCCTGTCCACCATAAGGAAAGTACATTGGTGACCCAAGAGACCAGTTTGAGTACATCAGCAGTTGAGCAGCCCAAAGCAATTCATCAGAGCTGGTATTTGAATAATAAAAATTTTTATTAAGTTTAAATTTTTAGATAAAATGTTCAAATATTTTTAGCTCGTTATTTGATATTGAGCCATTCGAAAGGAAGAGGACCCGACCAATCAATCCATGGCAGAACATCACACCTAGAAAACCGTTGAATTATCAGAAGCGTAGCGAGAGTGATAATATGATGGAAGACGCAGAAAGTGTACGTGCAACGGACAGGTACATAAGATCAACAATTTGTACTAAACATCAATTTTTAACAACGTCTTTTAAAATATTTACATAAGCTATGGATGTGATGCAGTGCCAACATGTTCACTTGGAGAGCTATCAAAGAAGTGCGAGGGAGATGGTATTAATGAGGGCATTCTCAACGGTGATAAATCGGAAACGGTTGCCCCTTGCGCGGTTGCACTTTCAAAAAAGTGCGAGGGAGATGGTATTAATGAAGGCATTCTCAACGGTGATAAATCGCAAACGGTTGCTGTTAAATCCCAAACGGTTGCCCCTGTCCACCATAAGGAAAGTACATTGGTGACCCAAGAGACCAGTTTGAGTACATCAGCAGTTGAGCAGCCCAAAGCAATTCATCAGAGCTGGTATTTGAATAATAAAAATTTTTATTAAGTTTAAATTTTTAGATAAAATGTTCAAACATTTTTAGCTCGTTATTTGATATTGAGCCATTCGAAAGGAAGAGGACCCGACCAATCAATCCATGGCAGAACATCACACCTAGAAAACCGTTGAATTATCAGAAGCGTAGCGAGAGTGATAATATGATGGAAGACGCAGAAAGTGTACGTGCAACGGACAGGTACATAAGATCAACAATTTGTACTAAACATCAATTTTTAACAATGTCTTTTAAAATATTTACATAAGCTATGGATGTGATGCAGTGCCAACATGTTCACTTGGAGAGCTATCAAAGAAGTGCGAGGGAGATGGTATTAATGAGGGCATTCTCAACGGTGATAAATCGGAAACGGTTGCCCCTTGCGCGGTTGCACTTTCAAAAAAGTGCGAGGGAGATGGTATTAATGAAGGCATTCTCAACGATGATAAATCGGAAATGGTTGCCCCTTGCGCGGTTGCACTTTCAAAAAAGTGCGAGGGAGATGGTATTAATGAAGGCATTCTCAACGGTGATAAATCGCACACGGTTGCTGTTAAATCCCAAACGGTTGCCCCTGTCCACCATAAGCAAAGTACATTGGTGACCCAAGAGACCAGTTTGAGTACATCAGCAGTTGAGCAGCCCAAAGCATTTCATCAGAGCTGGTATTTGAATAATAAAAATTTTTATTAAGTTTAAATTTTTAGATAAAATGTTCAAATATTTTTAGCTCGTTATTTGATATTGAGCCATTCGAAAAGAAGAGGACCCGACCAATCAATCCATGGCAGAACATCACACCTAGAAAACCGTTGAATTATCAGAAGCGTAGCGAGAGTGATAATATGATGGAAGACGCAGAAAGTGTACGTGCAACGGACAGGTACATAAGATCAACAATTTGTACTAAACATCAATTTTTAACAATGTCTTTTAAAATATTTACATAAGCTATGGATGTGATGCAGTGCCAACATGTTCACTTGGAGAGCTATCAAAGAAGTGCGAGGGAGATGGTATTAATGAGGGCATTCTCAACGGTGATAAATCGGAAACGGTTGCCCCTTGCGCGGTTGCACTTTCAAAAAAGTGCGAGGGAGATGGTATTAATGAAGGCATTCTCAACGATGATAAATCGGAAATGGTTGCCCCTTGCGCGGTTGCACTTTCAAAAAAGTGCGAGGGAGATGGTATTAATGAAGGCATTCTCAACGGTGATAAATCGCACACGGTTGCTGTTAAATCCCAAACGGTTGCCCCTGTCCACCATAAGCAAAGTACATTGGTGACCCAAGAGACCAGTTTGAGTACATCAGCAGTTGAGCAGCCCAAAGCATTTCATCAGAGCTGGTATTTGAATAATAAAAATTTTTATTAAGTTTAAATTTTTAGATAAAATGTTCAAATATTTTTAGCTCGTTATTTGATATTGAGCCATTCGAAAAGAAGAGGACCCGACCAATCAATCCATGGCAGAACATCACACCTAGAAAACCGTTAAATTATCAGAAGCGTAGCGAGAGTGATAATATGATGGAAGACGCAGAAAGTGTACGTGCAACGGACAGGTACATAAGATCAACAATTTGTACTAAACATCAATTTTTAACAACGTCTTTTAAAATATTTACATAAGCTATGGATGTGATGCAGTGCCAACATGTTCACTTGGAGAGCTATCAAAGAAGTGCGAGGGAGATGGTATTAATGAGGGCATTCTCAACGGTGATAAATCGGAAACGTTGCCCCTTGCGCGGTTGCAACTTTTCAAAGAAGTGCGAGGGAGATGGTATTAATGAAGGCATTCTCAACGATGATAAATCGGAAACGGTTGCCCCTTGCGCGGTTGCACTTTCAAAAAAGTGCGAGGGAGATGGTATTAATGAAGGCATTCTCAACGATGATAAATCGGAAACGGTTGCCCCTTGCGCGGTTGCACTTTCAAAAAAGTGCGAGGGAGATGGTATTAATGAAGGCATTCTCAACGGTGATAAATCGCAAACGGTTGCTGTTAAATCCCAAACGGTTGCCCCTGTCCACCATAAGGAAAGTACATTGGTGACCCAAGAGACCAGTTTGAGTACATCAGCAGTTGAGCAGCCCAAAGCAATTCATCAGAGCTGGTATTTGAATAATAAAAATTTTTATTAAGTTTAAATTTTTAGATAAAATGTTCAAACATTTTTAGCTCGTTATTTGATATTGAGCCATTCGAAAGGAAGAGGACCCGACCAATCAATCCATGGCAGAACATCACACCTAGAAAACCGTTGAATTATCAGAAGCGTAGCGAGAGTGATAATATGATGGAAGACGCAGAAAGTGTACGTGCAACGGACAGGTACATAAGATCAACAATTTGTACTAAACATCAATTTTTAACAACGTCTTTTAAAATATTTACATAAGCTATGGATGTGATGCAGTGCCAACATGTTCACTTGGAGAGCTATCAAAGAAGTGCGAGGGAGATGGTATTAATGAAGGCATTCTCAACGATGATAAATCGGAAACGGTTGCCCCTTGCGCGGTTGCACTTTCAAAAAAGTGCGAGGGAGATGGTATTAATGAAGGCATTCTCAACGATGATAAATCGGAAACGGTTGCCCCTTGCGCGGTTGCACTTTCAAAAAAGTGCGAGGGAGATGGTATTAATGAAGGCATTCTCAACGGTGATAAATCGCACACGGTTGCTGTTAAATCCCAAACGGTTGCCCCTGTCCACCATAAGCAAAGTACATTGGTGACCCAAGAGACCAGTTTGAGTATATCAGCAGTTGAGCAGCCCAAAGCAATTCACCAGACCTGGTATTTGAATAATAAAAATTTTTATTAAGTTTAAATTTTTAGATAAAATGTTCAAATATTTTTAGCTCGTTATTTGATATTGAGCCATTCGAAAAGAAGAGGACCCGACCAATCAATCCATGGCAGAACATCACACCTAGAAAACCGTTGAATTATCAGAAGCGTAGCGAGAGTGATAATATGATGGAAGACACAGAAAGTGTACGTGCAACGGACAGGTACATAAGATCAACAATTTGTACTAAACATCAATTTTTAACAACGTCTTTTAAAATATTTACATAAGCTATGGATGTGATGCAGTGCCAACATGTTCACTTGGAGAGCTATCAAAGAAGTGCGAGGGAGATGGTATTAATGAAGGCATTCTCAACGATGATAAATCGGAAACGGTTGCCCCTTGCGCGGTTGCACTTTCAAAAAAGTGCGAGGGAGATGGTATTAATGAAGGCATTCTCAACGATGATAAATCGGAAACGGTTGCCCCTTGCGCGGTTGCACTTTCAAAAAAGTGCGAGGGAGATGGTATTAATGAAGGCATTCTCAACGGTGATAAATCGGAAACGGTTGCCCCTTGCGCGGTTGCACTTTCAAAAAAGTGCGAGGGAGATGGTATTAATGAAGGCATTCTCAACGGTGATAAATCGCAAACGGTTGCTGTTAAATCCCAAACGGTTGCCCCTGTCCACCATAAGGAAAGTACATTGGTGACCCAAGAGACCAGTTTGAGTACATCAGCAGTTGAGCAGCCCAAAGCAACTCATCAGAGCTGGTATTTGAATAATAAAAATTTTTATTAAGTTTAAATTTTCAGACAAAATGTTCAAATATTTTAAGCTCGTTATTTGATATTGAGCCATTCAAAAAGAAGAAGACCCGACCAATCAATCCATCGCAGAACATCACACCTAAAAAACCGTTGAATTATCAGAAGCGTAGCGAGAGTGATAATATGATGGAAGACGCAGAAAATCTACGTGCAACGGACAGGTACGTAAGAACAACAATTTGTACTAAACATCAATTTTTAACAACGTCTTTTAAAATATTTACATAAGCTATGGATGTGATGCAGTGCCAACATGTTCACTTGGAGAGCTATCAAAGAAGTGCGAGGGAGATGGTATTAATGAGGGCATTCTCAACGGTGATAAATCGCAAACGGTTGCTGTTAAATCCCAAACGATTGCTCCTGTCCACCATAAGGAAAGTACATTGGTGACCCAAGAGACCAGTTTGAGTACATCAGCAGTTGAGCAGCCCAAAGCAATTCATCAGAGCTGGTATTTGAATAATAAAAATTTTTATTAAGTTTAAATTTTCAGACAAAATGTTCAAATATTTTAAGCTTGTTATTTGATATTGAGCCATTCAAAAGGAAGAGGACCCGACCAATCAATCCATCGCATAACATCATACCTAAAAAACCGTTGTATTATCAGAAGCGTAGCGAGAGTGATAATATGATGGAAGACGCAGAAAGTGTACGTGCAACGGACAGGTACATAAGATCAACAATTTGTACTAAACATCAATTTTTAACAACGTCTTTTAAAATATTTACATAAGCTATGGATGTGATGCAGTGCCAACATGTTCACTTGGAGAGCTATCAAAGAAGTGCGAGGGAGATGGTATTAATGAAGGCATTCTCAACGATGATAAATCGGAAACGGTTGCCCCTTGCGCGGTTGCACTTTCAAAAAAGTGCGAGGGAGATGGTATTAATGAAGGCATTCTCAACGATGATAAATCGGAAACGGTTGCCCCTTGCGCGGTTGCACTTTCAAAAAAGTGCGAGGGAGATGGTATTAATGAAGGCATTCTCAACGGTGATAAATCGCAAACGGTTGCTGTTAAATCCCAAACGGTTGCCCCTGTCCACCATAAGCAAAGTACATTGGTGACCCAAGAGACCAGTTTGAGTACATCAGCAGTTGAGCAGCCCAAAGCAACTCATCAGAGCTGGTATTTGAATAATAAAAATTTTTATTAAGTTTAAATTTTTAGATAAAATGTTCAAATATTTTTAGCTCGTTATTTGATATTGAGCCATTCGAAAAGAAGAAGACCCGACCAATCAATCCATGGCAGAATATCACACCTAGAAAACCGTTGAATTATCAGAAGCGTAGCGAGAGTGATAATATGATGGAAGGCGCAGAAAGTGTACGTGCAACGGACAGGTACATAAGATCAACAATTTCTACTAAACATCAATTTTTAACAACGTCTTTTAAAATATTTACATAAGCTATGGATGTGATGCAGTGCCAACATGTTTACTTGGAGTGCTATCAAAGAAGTGCGAGGGAGATGGTAGTAATGAAGGCATTCTCAACGGTGATAAATCGCAAACGGTTGCTGTTAAATCCCAAACGGTTGCCCCTGTCCACCATAAGCAAAGTACATTGGTGACCCAAGAGACCAGTTTGAGTACATCAGCAGTTGAGCAGCCCAAAGCAATTCATCAGAGCTGGTATTTGAATAATAAAAATTTTTATTAAGTTTAAATTTTCAGACAAAATGTTCAAATATTTTAAGCTTGTTATTTGATATTGAGCCATTCAAAAGGAAGAGGACCCGACCAATCAATCCATCGCATAACATCATACCTAAAAAACCGTTGTATTATCAGAAGCGTAGCGAGAGTGATAATATGATGGAAGACGCAGAAAATCTACGTGCAACGGACAGGTACGTTAGAACAACAATTTGTACTAAACATAAATTTTTAACAACGTCTTTTAAAATATTTACATAAGCTATGGATGTGATGCAGTGTCAACATGTTCACTTGGAGTGCTATCAAAGAAGTGCGAGGGAGATGGTATTAATGAAGGCATTCTCAACGATGATAAATCGGAAACGGTTGCCCCTTGCGCGGTTGCACTTTCAAAAAAGTGCGAGGGAGATGGTATTAATGAAGGCATTCTCAACGATGATAAATCGGAAACGGTTGCCCCTTGCGCGGTTGCACTTTCAAAAAAGTGCGAGGGAGATGGTATTAATGAAGGCATTCTCAACGGTGATAAATCGCAAACGGTTGCTGTTAAATCCCAAACGGTTGCCCCTGTCCACCATAAGGAAAGTACATTGGTGACCCAAGAGACCAGTTTGAGTACATCAGCAGTTGAGCAGCCCAAAGCAATTCACCAGACCTGGTATTTGAATAATAAAAATTTTTATTAAGTTTAAATTTTTAGACAAAATGTTCTAGTTTTTTTAGCTCGTTATTTGATATTGAGACATTCGAAAGGAAGAGGACCCGACCAATCAATCCATGGAATAACGTCATACCTAAAAAACCGTTGTATTATCAGAAGCGTAGCGCCAGTGATAATATAATGGAAGACGCAGAAAATCTACGTGCAACGGACAGGTATATAAGAACAACAATTTGAATTAAACATCAATTTTTAACAACGTCTTTTAAAATATTTACATAAGCAATGGACGGAATGCAGTGCCAACATGTTCACTTGGAGTGCTATCAAAGAAGTGCAAGGGAGATGGTATTAATGAAGGCATTCTCAACGGTGATAAATCGCAAACGGTTGCTGTTAGATCCCAAACGGCTGACCCTGCCCACCATAAAGAATGTACATTGGTGACCCCAGAGACCAGTTTGAGTACATCAGCAGTTGAGCAGCCCGAAGCAATTCACCAGACCTGGTATTTGAATAATAAAAATTTTTATTAAGTTTAAATTTTTAGATAAAATGTTCAAATATTTTTACCTTCTTAAATGATAGTGAGCAATTTGAAAGGAAGAGGACCCGACCAATCCATCCATGGCATAAAGGTCATACATATATTAAGAGGGCAGATGTTATTTATCGGAAAGTCGACAATGCAAAAGACCTCTTCATACCTAGAACACCGTTATAATTTCTTAAAGTCACTACCTGGTACGCAATTCATTAAACTTTCAATCTTTCATTAAACTCGTTTGCTTAAAGTATTATAATATATGTAATAATAAGGTGGCTTAATTTTAGATTGTTTAGAATTTATTGGCGACATAGATCTGATTTTTTTTTATTAATAATTGTGTATTGTATATGCAAAGTCATTTAACTTGTTAAGTGAAACATGAATATTTACTTTAATTCATAACGAGAACTTTTTGTGTATAGACACAATCATTTTGTATTAACACTAGTTTTAATAAGAAATTATTTAAACAAAATATAACGACTTAAATGAGAAACAAAACTTTTTTATATTAATTTCGGTTTATTTGATTTGTATTAATTTTTGTAAGCCATCTACTAACTAAGACATATATGTTAGTAATAAAATATATAAATAAATTAAACATTAATATTGTGTATCATAAATTTAAATAATTAAAATATTGTATTTTATTATAAGCAATTAATTTGTAAAAATTTTTTATAAATAAATTTCATTTTTATTAATAAGAACGATATAAATTGCCTTATAGCAAACATCAATTTTTTATTTCTATGTATTACGTAGTTACAACAACTTTCAGTGCCTAGCTGCATCTTGGAGTTATCTTTTTACCTAACAGACACTTGCCTCAAAGTGAATCTGATAGATGTTACGACGCATAAGAAATTCTTCACGCATCCAAAGAATATTATAGAACATTACTTTACATTATATTAGTCGTCATATTACAAAACGACGTACCATTGTGTGTGGCTTCTGCCATTTGACCTAACATTTGACCTGATGTGTATATCTCTTGAATAGAACTTTCCTTATCAAATCCTGTTTCTATGAGTCAAAGATCAATCTTCACACATTAATACTTTTTGAGAGATGTTAACAAAAATTGTTTTAATATTGGTTCATGGGCTGTTTGGTCTACGCACTCAAAATCTAGAATATTCAATTAAGTCCACTGCAACATATTGGAAGTACCAAAAATAATATTATTTCTTCTCTTGGGACACAAGTTGAAAGGAGAAAGTCGAGCTTGCCGGTGCGCGTGTTAAAAAACACTGGAACATCTATCATGTTTAGGTATCTCCAGATCCACACTTATACTTTTAGGTGCACCATTTTTTAATTCACTCAAAAAAAAATATTTAAAATATAAATTGATCAAATGTTTCAGCTATTAATGGATACATTCGCTTCTCAAACGACCAACTCTCTACTCAAAATAATGCAAATTATCGATTCTTACTGACTGTGGTGGATCTCATACTTCTTCCACTTCACCTATCCACCTATTTGAAGAACAGAGTGTTATTTGTGGTAAGAGATATTTCAAATTAAAAGTAATTAAAAAATAAAAACTATTTAAACAAGTTTCGAAAGTGTTAGAAAAATGTTAATATCCTATAAGTAGAGGAGTTAAAAGTATAAATTTCATTGAAAATTCCTATGCAACATTTTTGTAGTAATTTCGACCTAATTTTAACATTTTTTGTGGAGTAATGATTTTCCAAAATTTCGAATAATTGTGAGTGTTACTTTTGGCTGCACAAATGTGCAAAGCATTTCCTAATCCATACAATATTTGCACACGACTATGTGGGCAGGCGGTTTTTATTGCCCAAGGGACTGCGCTCAGAGGACCTACGATGCATCGCATTGCACTGAAAACAACCCAAAACTAAATAAATTGCAGCATCAAGTTTTAAGGAATGCAACGCATTTGTTTTAAATTTCATGAATTCAAATTTTGTCTATTATTTTTGTTGTTGTTCTTCAAAGTCCTGTTAATGCAATATTCCCTAAAACCAAAAATGTAAGCAGTCACAAATTAAAACACACACACATCGCACAAATTTGCAAAAACACTGGTAGTTGAAGTATCCATAACTGTATATGTATGTGTATGACTATCTGTATCTGTTCTGTAACTGTATCTGTATCTGTAACTAAATCTGTATGTGTATGATTATCTGTATCTGTATCTGTAACCTTATTTGTATCTGTATCTGTATTTACATCTATAAGTGTACATGTATAAGTATCTGTATCTGTATCTACATCTGAATGAGTATGAGTATCTATATCTGTATCTGTATCTACATCTGTATGTGTATGAGTATCTGTATCTGTATCTGTAACCTTATTTGTATCTGTACCTGTATTTACATCTGTATGTGTATATGTATGAGTATCTGTATCTGTATCCACATCTGTATGTGTATGAGTATCTATATCTGTATCTGTAACCTTATTTGTATCTGTATCTGTATTTACATCTGTATGAGTATATGTATGAGTATCTGTTCTGTATCTGTATCTGTATCTACATCTGTATGTGTATATGTATGAGTATCTGTATCTGTATCTACATCTGTATGTGTATGAGTAACTGTATCTGTATCTGAATAGTGTGAATGTTTCGGTGGAAATAATTTTAGCAGTCGGTATAGCGAGAGCGTCATTCAAACAGCAAAAATGCAACAAATTTTAATTTATTTGGCATCGCGCATACGAGAAGCTTAAAATGCGAAAAGGACATTTATTTTTACCAATGAAAGCATAAAATTTTGCACATAAATTTCTGTTTCCTACTAAATTTATATTGTTGACTGTGATATTTTTTGCAGTATAGCTGTCTGCTAAAACGATACTACATTCAGCAAATGTGTATTACAGCAAAATTTGCTGCTAAAGGCCAAAACTTTGAAATTATGCTGCCACATGTACTGTTGGTATTTGTGTAAATTATATAGAATGTGACACGATTTAAAAGAATTGTCACATTAACTGAAAATAGTAAATTCTAATTAAACGAATAAAATACTCGTAAAAGCATTGAATGTAATGAATTTGATTAAAACCAAAATGTTTAAATTTAAAACTTTACTAATAGATTACATTAAATTATATATTTAATATATTCGAAAATAAAAACAAATAAGCAAACATGGAATTTTGGAACATGTACCAATTAAAGAAAAATAAATAAGCCTACATTCTACTATCTACTACTCTATATAGTTATTGACTACTTACTGTCAAATTTTATCAGTTAAAAATAAAAAGCTTACCACTATATATTATACATCAATCGAATCAAATTTTATTATTTCAATGGTCCAGCAATTTTATTTACTGTATATATATAACCCGCATCATAACGCTCTGCACAAAAAAACAGCATCGCCGCTAATCCAATGATTGCTTTGGAAGTGATACTTAACTTATCTTCCATTGACTTTTAGTAGACGGTCTTACAGAAATCTGCGCGAAGCTGGCGTTAATAGGTAAACTCACTTTCATGACAACAGTAAAAATTAATTTTTTCAAATGAGTTGTAATATTCCCTAGGCAAAGCTTACTTGTCATAAAACACGATTGAAGCCAGACACCATCCTGCGCTTATATTTATGTTTTTAGTCAGTATGGAGTTACATTTATTTATAACCGGGTACTATGAACAAAAGAACAGTAGAGTCTTGATTTATATGATATATATAACTGATATAACTGTCACCGACGGGACTCTACTATATGTAATAGAGCATTTACAGACACACTATCTTGACAAGTGTATTGATAACATTGTGGTATTAGGTTCACATGAGAGATAAACATGTAATATAACAAGATGGACACGTAGTTATTAATTAAATTCTGATAAAGTTATATCAGTGAAAAAACCAACAGCTTACTTAAAACACAACTATATTAACCTAATCTAAATATTTTATTTAAATGAATCAACTACAGTTGAAGTTGCCATATATATGCCCCGCGTATTACAACGCTCTAGCGGTTCGCTGGGTTGGTGATGTCGTACGAGAATGAGAAAAAGTTATCTGACGTCCGCATCTTCGACGGAAAGATCAGGTGACCAACGATTTGGAAGCACTCGGTACTACCAACTGGCGACAGCAAGCAACTAATCGGGTTGGCTGGCGGAAGCTACTCGATGCGGTCAAGGACGGAATGGTTTCTTAGGGATGGTTTTGCCGTGGTAGTAAATGATCAATTGTTGTACCATTGTGTACTCTTAACAAAAGCTAAAATATTTTTATGATAATGAATATCTCACTGGACTATATACAGAAACATATGGCAATGTGAAAACTATTCTTTTTTTAAAATAATATATTAAATATTTTTAATAATAATGTTTTATTATATTTAATGCATGCTAATTTTGTCTAATATGAATTGTTCTATATTTATTGGTCTCTTAATAATTGAAGTTAAGAAGCGGATTACTAAATTCAATTTATTACAAATTAATTTTTATGTTTTTTATATATTTTGTTCTGTAGTTAAAAGTACTTTTTGCATAATTTGAATAAAAATTGATGCAAAAATAATTGAGAAGAATTTTTTATATTTTTTGCCCTTCACTTCTACTGGAGCCGGCGATGTATTCATACATTTAAAAAGCCATTTGAGTCGCATAACTAAAAATATATAATGCGGATGAAATTATAGTTGTTTTGTTGTTAGTAATTGCTTTAATGACGAAATAAAATGTTAATAATGATGTTGAGCATAATTTCTTGTTCATTTATTTTGGCCTGGAATTGTTTTTGCTTAAATGAGTGACAATAATTGATATCACAGTGCTGCACTTCATCATATTTTGCGCTGAATGGTGCTCATTTAGCATGTATAATCGTACTAACACGTTCCGTACATCCTTTTCTGCCATTACTCTATGCCATCCAATGCGCAGAGATGAAATCGAATAGACGGTAAGCATTTTTTCCGTCTGGCTGTGTTGGCTGCTTATGAATGGAGTTGGAAACGAGTACCAATTCGAGCAGAGCTTAATTGCGCTATTTTTATCTTCACCAACTTGCCAAGCCAAAGAATTAAAAACAAAATCAACAAAAAAAGGAAGATGTAATGGAACATAACAATGGCAATGCCAGCACAGAGGAAAATGTAAATTGGCTCTAACGATTGTCAGCAAAGCGTCCATGTGAAGAAACAGTAAGCGGCACGTTTCATTATTAAGAGATTTGCACCCAATAAAGCGGAGCACGCTTAATGCCTGCATTTGTGCATCTCTCGCACTGGCAGCCCAATTCATATTATGCAGCATAGCAGCTGGCTTCGGTGTCATTAGCAATTAAAGTGCAATTAAATTGATGATTTTAATTGAACATTGCATCAACTATAAGACTCGTTGTCTTCACCGATATTTTGTTCTTTTGTTCGTAGTCATTGCTTCATTTAATAGCTTCAGCAAAATAAAATCGATTATTAATAAAAGACAATTTTAAAGGGGTTTTTATATCCTTGAAATTATGTGTTATGATGAAATGCTTTTAAAAGTTTAAGAAAAAAATGAACTTCAGTTATTTCAGTTATTGAAAAATATATAATAATTGTCATTATAAGATAGTTAAATTAAACTGTAACCAACTTCAGACTTATATTGTAGATTGGTTGTTTGCAATGGCAGGTCAGCAGATATTCTTGCACTGTTCATAATTAAGAATATATGGTACTCGGGCTTGCTATCAATTTCCTCATATCCATGGTTATTGAAGGAATGATACCGCTGTAGAAGGTAGCAGAAATTGAAAAGGAAAAACTTGCAGTTAATAGAACTGGGCTCACGAATTGCAACCAGCTCAATAAAAAAGCAATGATTAACTGGTAACAAATTTGGTACATATCCACGAAAGGAAGATGGACACATAAGCTCATACCGAGAAATAAAGCATGGACAGGTGACATCGACGACTGCAAATTCAAACATAACGAACACGACACATGCCTAGCGTGTCCAGATACAAAAGAAGCCATGGAACTTGTGCTCTTTGATTGAGCTTGACAAGAGCAACCAGATAACACACCTGATGACATTATTCACCTGATGTTGATGCCAACAGAAAACTAGAACTTTATATATATATTTGCAAAAGAAATCTTAGAAAGACAGAGAGCAGCACAGAAAGCTAGATCAAAGGACTGTAAATCGCTGAATCACCACCCCACCGAAGTAATGCTTAAATGTGATTCCGGAGAGATGTATGGTCAGATAATGCATTTGTGGATAATATATTTAAGAAGCATATATACATACTATTAGATAGTGTAGCTGTTTCGCAGTCCAATTTAAATCCAGGATGGAAGAAGAAGTCGACTTAGTTCAACATTTTTCTATTCTATTCTACATTTGTTGAATTTATTCTGTTAGTAAACAATATAAACCCGCAACGATATATAGGCAACTGTTTGCAAATTGACCAAGAATGTGGCAGAAAAAATCCAGTACTATTATTGAGGTTTCAGTGGTCTTTGGAAATATTTTTTAGTTTTATCAGTCTATATTTGTTGAACTATAACTGCTTTAGAACTTTGGATCTGTCAAATTTTTAACAAATGCCACACTAATAAATTTTTCATTTGATAAAAAAATTCAAAAATTCCTTTATTAGTAAAATAACTCTCACTCTATCCTTTTGTCATAATTGACTTTAAAATTATATTTGTTGTGTGTTATCTTTGTTAAATTATTTTGTTTCTCAGATACAGTTACGTAGATCCGATTTGTCTGTAGTTTCGTTTGGAGATATAGAAAATGATTGCTTAAATTCACTTCCTCTTCATCATGGCTTCATTATAACCACTCCTGTACAGTTCGCTTCTCATAATGTGCTAACATTGAAGCATTGAAGCAGCAGCACAATGCTCCGTTAGAACTTCAGTAATCACACGAACTGCAATTTTGTTGAAATTCAAAAAATTGTTCAATCTACTTAAATCTAATCTAGATCATTTAACCCTCGCGACCTCAAAAGATTTTTCAATATACTCTTATCTTAATCTAGGCCATATAATCTTAGCGGCCTTAAATGATTTATCAATCTACTCCAATCTAATCAAGACCATAGAATCCTAGCGATCTCAAAAGATTTTTCAATCTACCCTTATTTGAATGTAGGCCATAAAATACTAGCGACCGCAAACGATTTTTCAATGTACTTCAATTAATACAGGTCATAGAATCCTTGCACCCTCAAAAGATTTTTCAATCTACTCAACACTAATCTACACTATAGAATCCTAGTTACTTTAAAAGATTTTTAAATCTACTTCAACCTAATATAGGTCAAAGAATCCTCGTGACCTTAGAAGATTTTTCAAACTACTTCTACCTAATCTAGATCATATAACCCTCGCGACCTCAAAAGACTTTTCAATCTACTTCTATCTAATCTAGGCCATATCATCCTAGCCTCAGGGGCTACGCGATTAGTTCATGAATTAGTCGTCACCGCAACAGTGCTATTGTCTGCGTTTCTAAATAGTTCACACCGGGGGATATGTATTAAAGTGTGGGTTTCGTTTATTACTTTCTTATACCTTATTATCTTCTGTCTATCTCCTCTCCTAGTTAAATTGGTTCAAGTTGTAGATATTATTTTTATGCAATTTAATTAAGTTCAAGTGCCTTTAAATGAAAATTCGTTCAATAAATTTATTTTTTAATTTTATTTTTCACATCATCAAAATTGCTTATGTCGATATCTGGAGTATTGAAGCTATTTCTATTATTGAACACATTTAAATGGAAATTATGTAGATTGAAAAATTTTGAAATCATCACAGCAAGCACACATATTATCACAGCAAATGCTTTTATAAACCAAAAACCGTAGAACGAAAAATTTATTATCATTTTGCGATTTCTTGTGCAAACTTAAACTTTAGTGAAAGGAAAAACCTGATGAGGTTCTTGGCCAGTGTAGAGTAGAGTAGACTGTGAGTGGAGGCATTGCGCAAGGTGGCTAGTTGGTACATCACAGGCACGGCGTGTTTTTACTTTTATCAAAAATACAATAACTTAGCTTTTTTTTTTATAGAATTATTATTACAATTTCTTTTATTATATATTTTAGTTCTTTTTTTTGCCATATTTATTCTTGGCAAATCCTTTTCTTCACATTTTTAGGTTTTTCCTTATTCCTGGCCATCTTATTTTATTACTTTTTTTCGACTTTGTGCCATTGTATGTAAATCTCTATAATGCGCACAAATGTGTACGAATCGCTGTGCTGATTTGAGCTACTGCAGTGTTATGGAAATTCCGTTTTTAGTATAAAATATGAAGGAAAAAATCCGGCGTATAATTTTGTAATAATTCTGCAGATATTTCTGGAAAGCAGCTCCAAGCGGCTGGTGACGGCGTTGCGACAATGCCGAAACTATGGCAGGAAATACGTTTTTGTGAATTTTAAATTTGAAAATTATTCATGAGAGTATGGAAATTAAAATCTAGTCCGAAGATTTATTTATCAGTCAAATGATACAAGGAGCAATGGCATTACCCATATAAGTATTGCCCTTTTTATAACCTTAGAGTAAAAAGTCATTTGCTTGCTGATGGCACTTTACGCAATTTTTATTCTTACATTTTTTTCCGTACAACCATATATTTTGTTTAAAGAAGATGTTTCAGTTTAGTGAGATATTTCAAGTTGATAGAAAAAACTAATGACAATTATTTAGTTCATGCACTTATTGTAAACCGTTGAGTCCGACATTTCCCAAATCATAACATCAACAAAAAAAATAATTTAACTTCGGAAATTAATATGTAAAAAAAAAAAATATTAAATAACTAAATATTTATATTATTTTTAATCTACAGTATTTCATCTTATATGTCAGTGCTCATTTTTAGCTAGGAGAACATCAAAAAACTTGAGAGCCCCTGTCCGTAACGCTCTAATTAAACTGTCATCCTGCAATATTAGGATGACTTGGACTTAGTCAGTTTTATAGAATTGTTAGATTGTTTCACCTTTTTCCTAATGGAGGAGTCGTTACTTATTTCAACGTTGGTCGCATACTGAGATTTAAGTCTGTGTACGAACTAAAGCTATTCCTGTAGCACCACAACGGGTCATTATTTGAGTTCAAGTGGGCTTTCTTGGTACACATGACCGCTACTACCGCCAAACCTAGACTAAACGAAATTTACCAAAGTTATTAGATATTATTTGTGTCTATCCCATTAGAGATATACATTATCTGTTATTACCTACAGAATCACAAGCTATAAGCGCAATTTAATTTTCTGAATCAAGCGAATACTATTTACTGAACATCTTAAATTGTACTTAAATTTAAAACTTGAAGGACCACCACATACAACTCGAATCATTTTAAATAATAAATTAATAATTTATTTTTAATTATTTATATATAAATTATTTTTCTTCTAATTTACATTACTATAAGTTGTGTTGGATAGTAAAATGAAATAACAGAATTTTCCATTTAAGATGAACTATTTCTACTAAATTCAAAGATATTAGTAAAAAACCCAAACATAAATCAGTTGGAATGGCTGTTATATGGAAGTGATAGTTAGATTCAAGACTCACGGAAATACATCTCTCTATCGCATAAATTTCTGCAATAGGGAGTGAATATTTGGCTTAATATTATAATTTTCAATAAGATTCAGAAAATGTATATTATATATCTTATAT